CACCCCCCCAGCCACAGTGGTCCCAGAACAGGGACTCGGCCGGGACGCCCTGCAGCGAGCAGAGCCCAGCAGGGACAGAGCTCACCAGAGCTGCCTTCTCCTGGGGCTCCCACTCCGCTGCCGTACCTTGTCGCTCTGAGTCTTCTGCTCTTCCATCTTCTTTAACTTCATCTCCTCTTCCTTTTCAGACTCGTCTTCCTCCTCCTCCTCTTCTTTGTCATTGTCATCCTCCTCTTCCTCCTCTTCTTCCTCCTCCTCCTCGCTCTCTTCATCTGCAGAAAGACCACCGTTACCAACAGGAGAGCAGTCGCTGGCCCCGGAGCAGGTACAGCCCTGCTGAGGCAGCAACAACTCCTCAACTCCTCCGACCTCAGAGCCTCGCATCACCTGGGTTCTCGCCCCTCTGCATGGCCAGCAGCTTCAGCTTCTCAGGAGGGACGTAGTCTCCTTCCTGCTCCGTCACGAAGGGCGAGAGGTGCGGGGGCAGCAGCACGCCAGGGAAATAGTCGGCCACGGGGAGGCACAGCTTGGCATTGACGGAGTCGAAAACCCACTGAGGCTGCAGGTAATACCTGTGGGGCAGAGCGACGCGGGGTCAGACTCTTTCCTCCCACCCCAGGCTCTGGAGCCCACAGGGCTGCAAGAGAGCAGACAGAGCGTGGGACAGCTCTGGGATGGCCAGGGACACCCGCTAGCCCAGGTGGCCATTCTGGGGACAGGCCACCAGCCTCACCCACCTGCCAACAACCTGCTGCTCCACCCGGGGCCGGTCAACAATCTGGTGGGTGATGGAGGGGTCGCTCACATCGTAGGTGGCACCAATGCACAGGGACTTGTCCCAGGAGACCTGGCCACCAAAGGACCTGCCAGCAAAACCCACCGAGGAGTCAGGCAGGCAGGAAGGACCCTGAGGGTCACCTTGCCCGCAGGACGTCAGGCAGATCAGCCTCAACGGTCCCAATAGAGAGGCTGGGAGAGACCAGCACGGGGTAGCAGGGCTGCCGGGGGACAGCCTGCCCACCACGTACCGGATGACGAAGGCCAGTGGCTCTCGCGGCACCTCCCTGTTGAGGAAGAAGCGCAGCCCTTCAAACAGCTTTTTGTGCTTCTCCAGGGCCTCCTGCTCCTTCTTCCTTGTGTCCATCTGCTCTGCAGTCTCCTGCTCAGAGTAAAGCATTCAGCCTACTCCCCACAAAGAGCCCCTGCCAAGCCCCTCTCTGCAAGGAGGGCTCTTGGATGCTGTCCCCATCCTCCTGCCAGTGCCTCCCAGCACCACACCAGGCCCTGCCAGCCTCTGCCCGGCACCAAGACATACCGCAGACAGGATCACCCAAGGCCAGGGCTGAGCTTCCCCACCAGGCTCTTACCCCCTCCACCGGGAACTCATCCATCTCCACCTCGTCCTCGTGGGTTGGTGCCACCACACGGGCCAGGCTGGCACTCAGAGCCGACAGTTTCTACAGCGGGAAGAGACCGAGAAAGCGTCACACCCAGCCAGTGCTTTGGGGATGGGAAAAGGGGCAGCCTCACGGAGGAAGGAGAAGGCGATTTCTCAGAGCAAGAGGTCAAAAGACCTCCTCCCAGGACTAGACAGACATTCAGCCTCCTCCATGTACCGTCCCACCCTGCAGTCCCCACTGGGGCTTTGGAAGGTCCCTCGCCATGCAGGGGGGAGGCCAGTGGCCCCCAAGGTCAAGCACAGCTCCTCCCTTGGCCAGCATGAGGGGGCAAGGTGTTTGGGACCAGTCCTCTCTGCCACGCAGGGATCAGGCTCTGCTCCTCAGCCCCTGCACACCGAGCGCCCCACACCAGGAAGGGGTCTGCGGTCAGGATACCAAGGCAACGCAGGGTCCTCCCATGGGCCAGGGTGACGGCAGCGTCCCTCACCTCCAGGTAGCTCTCCGAATCCATGGCGTAATCCTTGCCCTCTGCCGGCTTCAGCTCAACATCAGCCTGGCCATCAATCTGGGGAGAAACAGAAAGGTGGGGAGGCAGCTCCCAAATCCAGAGCCCCCAGACGTGCCCCCCTCCATCACCCTGACCCTCCAACATGGGTTTGCTTCCCACCACCCGCACTGGCTGGTCCCACCAGGCTCAGACCAGCATGGTGCGTCCCCGGGGCAGGTGGTGGCCTCACCTTGGGGGGGTAGAGCAGGTTGAGGGAGTGGTAGAGGCGAAAGTTGACGAAGCCCAGCAGGGTGGTGTAAAACTCGGTGAAGGTGGCCATCACACGGTAATCCACATCTGTGGGGTGCTGCAGGCACACGGGAAGGGTGAGGACACAAGGACAAGAGGACCGGAGTCCCTTCTGCAGGGACGAGGTCCCGTCCCACCCGCACAGGGAGGAGGATCCTGCCCCCTTCACAGCAAGGCCTGGAGATCCATGGCCACCGCCAGACCAGGGCAGGGAGAGCTCTCCAGGCTGCTACACAGGGCCCTGCGGCCACCCCTCTGTGAAGGAACCTGCTGGGACAGATGGAGCACCCCATCCCATCATGGATGGGGACCTCGGTGGCTTGGTCTAGGGACTCTGCTCCTCCAGGTGAGATGTGCAGGCCATGGCAAAGCAAAACAAGAGCAGGGCAAGGAGCCAAAACCCGGCAGGGACCCAGCCAGCCTCACAACAGCCAGAACTCAAGGGAGTGAGAAGCAATGCTGGCTGGAAAGGACATGGGTTGGCCGAGGAGATGCTGCAGGGGTGAGCTGGGGAGGTGAGACCCAACGCGGGACGTACCAAAGGCCACAAAGCTGGAAAGCCTCAACCCAACTGTGCCAAGCCCTGGAAAGCCCAGGAGTGAAACGAGCGGGCACTGCTGTCAGGGTGAACTCTTGCGTGCCAAGGGTCTTGGCAAGGCGCAGCACAGCCACACAGCTGTCCTGGCATGGTGGCACCCACAGCTCTCCCCTTGCCCTGCCACCTGCCTGGTGGCAGAACTACCCTGGCAGAGGGTGCGGGGTCTGGCTCGTCTCTTCCCTCAGTGTCACCAGCCTCATTCCTGCAGGTTAATCTTTAATTGCTGATTAAGGCGCATTTTTAATAACTGACAAGAGGAAATAAGGAACCGGGGAGACTGGTACGGCCAGGTACAGGGACACGGGTACAGCCATCCCGGGGGGCAGAAGAGGGTTGTGTCCCTGCACGCCTTCTCAGCCGGGCCTCGTGGTCTCCACCACAGGCTGGGCAGAGCCTCGCCTGCCTCTGCAGCGCGAGAGCTGCAGGACGGTCCCTCGACCCTTCCCTGGCCACAGGGAAGGGAGCAGCGAGGCAGCGCAGGTCCCACACGGATCCTGCCGTGCTCTTCCCAGGTACTCACATCGTGGGCGAAGGTGTAAGGGGTGATCCAGGTGACGGGCTGCCCCAGCACCTCGGCCTGGTAGTAGATGCCCTTGATGGAGAGGAAGACCTGGCAGAGAACAGCAGGAGGGCTAAGGGGGAGGAAGGCCATGGGTGCTCCCTTGTCCCTGTCCTCGTTAACCCCTCCCCCATCAGCAGTTTCATCACGGGAACGTCAGAGAGGCCCGGCAGGACTCGTTCCCCACCTGAAGCTGCCAGCACAGCTGGCCCTGTGCCCTCCTGGAGCACAAGTCCACTGCCCCCGCCTCCACGGCCCCCTCGGGGCAGGGAAGGTCTCGGCCCTGTCCCTCCCTGCAGCGCCCACCTTGCGCAGGGAGCGGGAGGCGATGACGTAGTTGAGGAACTCCACGGCCAGGCGCCGGCAGAGCTGGATGGTCTGGACATGGCACTTGCCCGTCCGCGGGAAGGTAGAGAAGAGGAAGCACATGGAGAGGGCATCGTCCAGGTCCCGCAGCGCGTCTATGAAGGTTGGGTACCTGTGCCCGGGCAGGAGGAGAAGGAGGAATCACACCCAGTCCCAGCGTCAACCAAAAGCTGCTGGGGCTGGTGGAGACCTCGCGTGAGAAAGGACTGGGCACCGTCGAGCACCCATCTCCTGCATGTCCCACCAAAGCTGGAGACCCACAGGGTCGGGGTGTCCCTCCTGGGTGCTCGGGGAGCCCACGGTCACACAGGGACCTCCAGGCAGCTCCCCGGGGTTCAGGGCTCTCCGGGCAGCCAGGAAGCTCCCTGGCGAGGGGATGGCAACACCCCTGATTACCTGTGGGTGTAAACAGGTTTTGGGCACCCACAGGCACTGAGTGTTGGGGAATCTCAGCCTGGACCCACCGAGGACAAGCGTGCCTGCGGTGCGGCACATGGCACTCCTCGGCCAGACGGACAAGGCCCAGACTCAAACGCTGCGGTCGGAGGGAGGCGGCGCGGCCCCACAGCTCGAGCAGCGGTGCAGCCGCCAGGTGCCCAGACCATCTCCCCTCCTGAGCTCACAGCTTGTCGGGGCAGCGTCCGTCTCTCGGTCCTGTTTCTCTCTCCCCTCTCTGCAACGGCACAGCGAGGTCCCAGGCATCGCCGGGACAACAAAGAGACCTGCCAGACCAAATTCCCCCCCGGGTCCTCTCCTCTGCCATTGCCACCAAATTCAACAACTCCGACGGCATGATTCACCCTCCCACCAGCCCTCCCTCCAAGGCTGACCCTGGAAAACACTGCTCAGGGAGAGGAGGAGAGCTCTCAGCGTCTTCCTGGAGATCCTGGAGCCATCTAGGATGGCCAGGCACAGCTCTCTGCTCGCTCATGCTTTGCTACAGCCAGTGTGCAGGACGCTACGGCCTTCTCCTCCAGCCCAGAAACGCTGGTTTCCATCAAAACCCCCAGAACTGCTGTAGGAGGTGGATTCCCAAAGAGGGATGGACTCGGCGAAGGCTCCACAGGTGCAGGTGGCTGCAGGGAAAGCTCCTCCCAAAAGAGGACGGCTCTGCTGGGACCTGGCCAGTGGCTCACCTCTCCTTCACGATGTGGTCGAGCTTGTAGCTGGGCTTGTTGTCCTTCAGCCGGTCTACGGTGCTCCACTCGCTCTTCCCGTACGCCTTCCGGAGCTTCCGGACAAACACCTGTGGGGAGAGGG